GCTTGTGTGTCGCACACAAGCCTCTGTCGGTGAAGATGAGGATGAACAGGGCAGCCCAGAGACCATAAGGCGGGGCAAGCCCACCTGGGAGACCCAAGAGGGGGTCACAGGTGAGAGGCGGACAGCGGCCGACCGCGACCGACACCCGTCCCCACCTCGACGCTACCCCTCTGAGCCATTCCTGGCCTCACAAGAGGATGAACATAGCCCAGACCCCTCTGGTCCCATGGAGACGTTGACCTTTGAAGCAGCTGTGGCATGCAGCCTTGGACGCTCAAATACCATTGCCTCAGGCCATCCACGCTTACGGACTGGCTGGCAGGTCCCCAATGGACACTTTCGGAAGCGTCTCGCACAGACGGCCTCAGTTGCAGGTTGTGATCCTCTCAGTGACACAGAGGAAGATGACAGATGCTAGGGACAAGAGGTATAGCATGAGAGAGGACGTGTTAGAGAAGTACGCTGTACTACCATGTACAGAGGGTAAATCTCAATTCCCGTAATTTTATCCATATTTCCCTCACTTGCATCTTTTCCTTGTGTCTTAGTCCTGCCCACATAAGATGTTAAGAAGAAAAGATGCAAGGAGAAAATGAGAGAGAGGACTCGAGGAGACATGAGATGTCCTTGCCTCTGATCCTTCATCTGAAGCATCCAGCCACCCGCTAATTTTGGATAAAGGGTGCCTGTCAGTCCATAAAAGACTTTTGTGAAAGATGCTCTTTTGTATCCTCGCTCATGGCTCCTTCAGCCAGCCTCCCCGCTCCTCAGAGCAGGATTAAATAAGACCTTTGGGACATCCTTCAAGATGGTGGAGCAGAACAACTTCTGGATCGAGCAAGGAACAATCATATAAGGGAGTTGGGATTTACCCAATGTTGAGGTTAATATGTTTTTGAATCAGTGGTTTGAGGCCATGAAACCTCTGGATGTTTGGTAAAATGTGAGCCCAAATTGATGAGAACAAAACTTCATGAAACTGTAGTTGCCAATTCACACAGAACACTGACAATAAATAAGGTCCATTTCCTGACTTTCCTGACATACTTAATGACAGAGAGTAATAATACATCTCAAATACTCGCAGGATGCAGAAAATACATTAAATGAATGGATCAAATTGTCATTTGTGTCAATATAAAGTATTTTTATTTCTGACAATGTTTCTAAATAATTCGGTGTTGCTCTAAACAGTATTTATCTGTGGGGTGTGTGAATATGTAACTACATTTTCTTATAAATTAACTGTTTTGTAAATACATTGTGATCATCACACCATCGCCATTTATTAGACCAGATCAATACAACAAGCCATCGTGAAGAGACGATCTGATACTTTACCAGACGATGTGGATACTAATAAGTAACACTCAATAATGCTGGATTTTTTTACAATATGAATGTGCAGGGGAACAACTGCCTGATTTTCCCCATCATATTTCTTTTTTGTATTAAACATAAGTTGTCAGATATGAATAAAGTTATAGAGTAACATAGAAAAGATTCTTATTTGTTATTTCACCATGCGTTATTGTTAAATCATGCCTCCACCAAACCCCAAACCTCTAAAAATTTTTCTAAACCATGTATTACTTAAATTTTTTTTTTACCAGTCTGCACCCTTTAACGGAGACATTTTCAACAATTATTTTGGGTGTGTAATTTTACCATGAACTGATATAAAAAACAAAATGATGTTTGATCTATTTTCACCATATTTCTTCCTTGTGAATATTGTATGACCACTGCAGGCGATGACTGTAAAAACACTGTAGACACCATCACACATTTTGTTTCACAAATTAACATTACTCTGTTACTTGCTAATAATGTACAGATAAGTCATGCTGTTTGTAATATTAAAAAAAAATTAACAGTATCAGCTGACAGGCTTTAAAGGTGAAGGAATCTTTGAATATGTTCATTTTAAATTTTGTGTATATGTTTTATTTGCCTGAAGAAGGCCAATTCTGTGAAACTCACTTAACCAAAAACATGGAGATTTGTATCATAAATTCCTGGAATGCAAATACTTTGTGGGTTTTTATGTGTACAGTAGCTGTATATACAAATAAAGGTGTCTGAAAGTTGTCACTGTTATTACCTGTCTTTTTCACTTCTATTTTCTAAGGCATGGGAAAAAAATACAAGTTAGATGTTGAAACTTTGAGCAGTACAATACCTCTTGCATAAAACAGAATAAGTGCATTTGGAAAATATAAGTTTGTGTTTGTATTTTTGAATTAGTTTAATATATTTGTTAATAAACATACTTTTATTGCAGTAATGTTGGTGGAAGGATGCAGATACTCCATTACATAGTGCTACACACTCAAACATGATCAAAGGTCGTCTTTGTCTGATGACGTATTTTCTGACTGGTGTTTTCCCTTCAACTATTTTTTGATAATCAATGGGGGTTTTCTGTTCAGCTATATATATAAAACAAGCTATATAGTGCTGGCAAGTACAATATCATTTTTCAGTAATGTTAAAACAAATTGAAGGTGCTGCATATTTAAAACTGTTAAGAATAGTGAAAGGTAAAAAAATGCATTTCTGAAATTGTGTTCAGATTTAATTTGTTTTAAAGTCACAGCACATGGATCACTCATATTTTCAATGACTGTGCCCAAATAGAGCTCTTCTAAGAACTGTGTGACACCTATTAAGGTGGGAGAAAAGGTTTTTTTCATAGGACACATTTTGCAGCTCAGTAAGAAAATTGTGGGCATAAATTCAATTCAGTTGTATTCTATTTGTATTGTGCCAAATCACAACAAAAGTGATCTCATGACACTTTACAAAGTAAGGTCTTGACATTATTATTATTATTATTGAGGAAAAACACAACACATCCCCCTTGACCAAGCACTTAGACAGCAGGGAGGAGAAACTCAAAGCATCATGAGGGGTCCCCCAGCAGTCTGGGCCTATAGCAGCATAACTAAGGGAAGGCTCGGGGTCACCTGAGCCAGCCCTAACTATAAGTTAACAAGCACAACACGGTGCAGGCACACTGAACAGGGAACAGCAGTCCATTCTCTCTGGTGTGACGCTTAATTGAAGGAATCAGAATCAGAAATAGTAAAGGCATTCTGTCAGAATATCAACATTTTTGGTAAAAATATTTACCAATCAAAATAATAACATTTTGTTCTTATATTTACGCTGACATTTTTTATCATACATATTTAAATTTTACAATAACTACACCTGACATCAGTGTTTGCAAAGGATGAAATAAAAGCATCAATATAAACAGATACATGTTTGTTATAGTTAAGATAAGACTTAACCGATTCCCAGGGGAGAATTACAGCAGTATTAAAGATAGTCTGTGAGGAAACATATAATGTAAAAAATTTATAATGTGTAAACAACAATTTCAAAAAAATTATATCTTCAATAACCTGTACCCTAAAATAAATTTTTGTCATGTAACGCATTATTTTTTGTTGTTATTTAAATTTGTTTCAATAATACACTTTGTGTCAAATATTAACACGTATTTAGGCTGTTATTGTTCATTTTGTCTATAAAAGGGATGGGGTTTGGGATGTCTCTTGGGTCTACGTGAATAACATCATCCAATCACCACGCAAAGATACACCATACGTCATTTCCAACGGACCGATAACATGTCCGGCTGCAGACAGCGCTAGCAAGGAATCAAGTTGTTTAATGTTACTCCCAAGTAAAAAGGCGGAAATGCCGTTTCAGTACAAATTTCAGACAGCTTAGTATAACAGCCACAGTTGCTACTGAAATAAATATTTTGTTGAAATTACGACACTTACGCAGGAATGAGCGACACTTATCAAGTAAGACTGGCGAAAAAGTAGCTAGGTCGGCTGCTAGCTGTTGTTAGCAAGGGAGTTCTTTGTTTTGTTTTTCAGGGGGAAGTCCGTGTAAACATGAAGTGAAACGAACTCTTGTGGACATTTGTTTTAACATTTTTCGATTAGGTATATATTATAAGCATGGACACTGCATCTTTGGTATTGGGAGCTGAACTGTAAATTAATGGTTTCTGGGATATAAGACTAAACTAACATTAGCCATCGAGCGCTAGTTTAGCAACAAAAAGATCTGATTGTTTTAACGTCGGTCAGTGAAGGATTCGGAGACAGGACAACATGGGCAACTGTCTCAAGTCCCCGACATCAGATGACATATCCTTACTGCACGACTCCCAGTCAGATAGGGCGAGTTTCGGTGATGGCATAGATCCAGACATGGAGCCTCCTCCACCGTACCAGGTGAGAGTCTGCTAACACTAAACTTCCAGATTATTAATTCAAGAACGTTTCTGGTCTTTGGATGACAAGTGGTTGTGAGAATAATGTTAGTTTAAAACCTATATGTTACTATACAGTTTGTAATGTTCATAACAATATTCCTGTATCCCTGTGGCCTTTTAATACAACAAGCCATCCTCCAGTTCAGTGTAGTCAGTCATAAACAAGTAAACAAGTGGGTTTAGTGTCACTCTTACTAACTGGCCTGTCAAGGATTTCCAGGCCTGTTTTTTTCCCTCCTGTCCCAGTTTGTCCCTGCACAGATCTTAACCTGTCCAACCACTTTATTCAAGTGAACTGAATAGGAGGACTGTTTCATTTTGGTGTTGTGGTTTTTTTGTTTGTCACCAGGAGCAGGCTCACATGCCCATGTACCATCCCACGCCTAGTCAGTCTCGTCTTGCCACCCAGCTGACAGAGGAGGAGCAGATCCGCATAGCTCAGCGTATTGGCCTCATCCAGCACCTCCCTAAGGGCGTTTATGATGGAGGACAAGATGGTTCAAAGAAAAAGATCAGAGAGTGAGCATTTTGTATTTCTGTGTGTGATAGCTACACAGAGCTGAGTAATAGTAACTACTTTACATGTTATATTTTTATACTCCTGACCTCGGTAACTACACTTTCATTTCATCTAATATTAATGTATGAGGCTATTGAACCAGATTTGTAATTAGGGCTGTGTAAACAAAGCTGACTTGGTTTACAAGTAAATTGTCATGGAAAATGCCAAACAGTGGCTAGTTTAAATGTGTGTGTTAGCTGCTTCTTTCTGTTAGTTTAGTCATGTGGACATACTGGCCAAGGAGAAGTAGCTATTTCTTACATTTGTTGCATACATTTGTTTCACTCAGCAAGAGCCAATAAAGCCAGAAAAATTGATAACATGATTCTAGGGGCTGCAAGTAAGATCTTTTAAATTAATTAATACGGCTATCTTTAGTTAAGCTTTTAATTTTGTCTGTTCTCAGATGCGTGATCTGTATGCTGGACTTTGTATACGGGGACCCCATCCGGTTCCTGCCATGTATGCACATCTACCACATGGATTGTATAGATGACTGGCTGATGAGATCCTTCACCTGCCCCTCCTGCATGGAGCCTGTGGATGCTGCCCTGCTCTCCACCTATGAGACCAACTGATTTTTCACCCCTCTTCCTCTACACTTAGCCCAAACATGACCAGTCCTGTGCTAAACCTATACAGATATCCAACAGCTTCCCTCTTATTGTGAGAGGAGTTCTGAATATGTGTTTGCTTTTGTCTCACACTTTGAAATTTTAAGAATTTACTCATCTGATGTTGGCCCTCCACCCCCCCAGGACTAAATAAGCTGGTCTTAAACATCAGTTACATGATTCAATGAAAAATGTTTTCAGATGACCCTGCATGATTGTGTATGTGTGTTTGTCATGCTGAAGCAGCATTCAGTAGTGTTGCAGGTGACAGTGAATACATGCAATTTGTGTATGTGTACTTGTATGGGTATACATTGTGAGGACCAGTTGTGTACTATGGAACTTAGTGCATTTGGCCCTTTCTCTTTCTGATAACCCTTCAAAGCATTGTTAGAGGGCCATGACTTGGTTTTAGGGTAAGTGCAGAATCAGGTTTAAGTTAGGGTAAAAATGGGTTAAGCTGTACAAACGTGTGTTTGTCAGAGACCTGTTTGTGAGTTTCCACTTGAGCTGGTCTCAGTGGTGTTTCTCCCCAACTGACAACAATTCATTCCCAGTTAGTCATGATTCAAATGGATGATTAGGATAAATTATTGACCAAATTGCTAAGAGGTGTTGCCAGAAATCTTGATTTTTTTTTTCTGTAGCAACATTGACATCTTCTTAACATGCTGTCACATTAAAGTGGCCCTGCACTTTAGAGATATGGGAATACACAGCTGAAGTTTACACTGTTTTTGTTGATTAACAAAGAAGAAGTTGCTTTTCATTTAGTAAGGATTACAGTATATACATACATATAGCATATAGCACACTGAAATGCTTAATGGACATAAAGATCATAAGACGTTTGTTTTAGGCTACTCCATATGACCAGACTTTAAAAAAAGCTTTGAGTTGAAGGAAAAAACAATGACATGTAATGTGAATGTTTCACCAGAGGATGTGTAAAGAAGCCGACAGCCGAAGTAAAGGGCTCATTTGTGCATGGCAGATGGATCAGTCAGTCAGAAATTGGAAATGCTTGTACACACCTTTCATCTGATCCAGATTTGCACTTTATTTATAGGACAGTATCTAAAACAATATATTAATATATGTACCTTATAACCTTGCACTATTGATACGTCATTCCTTCATTTTCTGAGATGCAAAAGATACATAGCTGATATTTTCAGAGTTGTCCAGTAGTCGCTTATCACACTGAAATAAGCCTGAAGATGTATTTCATGAACTCTGTGATTCTGTGGTGTGAACCTCCTCCTTGTTGTATGTTTTTTGTGCCAGTGAATGGACAGAGGCTTGTTCCAGATGTAAGGAAGAGACAGATGTCTTGGGAAAACATCCTTATTTACTTTCTTAATGAGAATTGCGTGAGAAAATTGATACTCCTCTCACATCTGTGCTTTAACTATGGAGTATAAAGACTAGAAACGGGGGTGCTGTTAGGCAAGTTTTAAAATCTTTTCTAAAGAAGCCTAGCTAGCTTCCCATGCTTCAAGTCTATGCTAAGCTGAGCTAGTCACTTCCTTGCTGTAGCTGTATCTTTATTGTGAGTAAACAAAAAAGCGTATTTCCCAAAATATCAAATCGTTCCTTTAAGATTGAAATCTGGCAAATTTTGGAGTCAATTCAAAGCTGTTAAATTTAGAATTAACATTATCACAGTGTCACTTTTCTTTATTATATATCTCATTTTTCATTTGTTTACACTATAATGAGTGTTTGTTGTTGCTGTATTTCACTGTAGCAGTAGTTAGAATACAGTTTGGAATTTTTGATGGTGGTGGTGTGGCTGTCTTGTTTTCTGTTACCTGTGTTTTGTCTTCTAACTTCTTTGTTTGTTACAGTTGTGTAAGAGCCACTTTGTATTTTGGAAAGCAAGTATCTAACTATTACACTGGTTTAAGCCTGGCTGTGCAAACCTCTGTCCTAATGGAATTTGAGTGTGAGAGAGACTTCTCTTATGATGTGATAGTCACAACTGAGACATCAAGATTTCCATTGAGCTTTTTGTTTGCTGTTTTTCATTCTAAGTTTAATCTGAAAAGTTCCTGTAATCATCTTTTCTTTTTTTCTCTTTTGAAGGCTAAAAAGCCCTCATGTAAAAGAAATAAACAGGAAAAAACATTTGGTCTGTTTAGTTCAAGAACAGACAGTCACTTATCTCCTCAAAAAACAGCTTATCAGTCTGTAAGGTGGACTAAATGACCCTGAACGAGCAGACTTGTGGCCCTAGCCTAAGCCATATTAGTAATGTTTAGTGTTTTGTTTCCCTGGCTTGCATCATCAGCTGCAGAAGAAACGTGAGTGAAATTCCCAGCTTCTGAGGTTGCAGTTTGGTCTGATCCTGTAAACATGATGAGTCCTTTCAGACCAGTTGGATGCCTTTTTTGTGTACATTAGTCTTTCCCACAGTGAAAGGTAGTTTACATGTGATCATGATCTTGTAGTCTTGCCACTGTCCTTATGTCCTTATAAAGAATAATTGCAACATGTCTTTTTTCCCCTTTCTTCCAATTAGACACTGACGCAGTTAATCGGCTTTGCAGTGCTGCAATGTTTGCATGCTTTTACTTTTTAGATGAGATTAGGATAACTTTGAGCAACACAAAAAGAACAAGCACAGAAAGAGCACTTGTTCAGCCATGACCATAATAAGATTATGTGTGCCAACATCTCCACAAATATTTCAGGAATTTCAGATGAAGGATTATCAGTACTACCACAATCAACTAAAGCATTACATTATAAGATTATTGCTTGCTTGTTCTAAAAGAACATTACAACTGTAGATCAGGATGCCCAAAAATATATTTTTGCCAAAGTTGGAGATTAGAGCAGCACAATTCAGTGTCTTGTTCAAATGATTTAACATAGTAAATATTCACTTTCACACAGAACTGAACCCGAGGTAAAGGACAGTGTCAGCAGTCACTTTGTTACACTGCTACCTTGTAAGCAGCTAATAAACCTGCCATATAACAGATTAGTACAAAACAGGAGAGTGTATTGATTCCCCCACCATAAAATATTCATGCATGTGGATAAATCCATATACAGAATATCTTTTATTAAACTGACACTGAAACTTAAGGGTTATAACCCTGAAGAGGTTGACTACTGCTGATACCCTCAGTAATGCATAGTTAGGATTTGTACATCCCATGAAAGGTGACAGGAATGCTGCACTCCACTTCTGCTCTGGCAACCTCAGACAGATCCTTGGCGTTGAGGATGAGGAGGTATGCGGGTCTCTGGGAGCCGGGAGCTGCCACGATGGTCAACAGCACACCTGCAGGCACAGCACAGGATTATCATGTAACAGTTTCTTTCAGAGATGGTGTAGAATTAAATATATTATGTTTACACTACTATTGCTATACCATCATCCTCATCAGCCCCATCGGGATTCTGAACATACAGTGGCTCTGAGGGGTATGAGTCAGGCTCTTGCCATACCCAAGTCTCCTTGGTCTTTACATTCAGCTTACAGATCTACAAACATGTTTATCAGTTAGTAAAAAAGTGTGTCTTATAAACATTGAATCACACATGACTGAAGACATTTTGCTAACATACCCTGTCTGGTATGAAATGGTTGAGCCCCAGGGCATAGGCATATGTGTAATTCTTAGATCCATACATTTTGTAGTTGATCTGAGGAAACTCAAAAGCTATAAAAACAACATTATAATTGTTAAATTATGTAGATCGTTCCCCACATGTATTAAAATGAATGTGCATATTATTACTGAGCAAATTAAATTTGTTGGATGTGTTGACACCTTGGCGAGGCCCTGAGAACAGCACCTCAGGCTCCAACCAGATTGTCCCATCAGCGTGCATCACTGCTGTAGCTGTGGTGTAAGGCAAGCTCACAAGGTTCTTCCCCTGCTCCTCCTGCATTAATATCAGAGTTCATAAGTGTCTGTGGCAAACTGACTGCCTCTGAGGAGTAAGACAGGTGAATCACCTTATAGATGTCCAGGGGAATAACATATCTGCGGACCTCTGGCTGGGGCGCAATCATGGCTGCCTTCTTCACTTCATCCCAGTTGGCTCTCAGGTTTGCCAACCAGAGATAGTTGTAAACAAACTCAAATCTGCAAGAAATAATAGTGAGCAGCACAAATAACCGTATAAAAACATTTCTGTAGCTGATATATGAGAAGGCTTAATTAGAAGTGCAGTAGTTGGATCTTAAGTTACCCTTTCCATGCACAGAGATCAAAAACAATGAATCCTTGGTCTTCATAGGTGTTGATATGATGAAACAGGCCTATGGCTGCCCCTTTGAACTTGTGATCGATGTACTCTCCTGGGTCTTTCTTGGCAATGTGGAACAAAGTCTACACCAAAGTAAATATAATGAGATTTCAGCAGAAGAGATGATGATGGTATGAAGGGTTAGAATACTTAAAATCAGCACAGATGTTAATCTACTCCAAGTTCTTACTCCCTGGGTCTCATTGGACTCAAAGCAGTCCATGTAATTGGACCCTCGGATGCTCCAGGCACTCAGGAACTTCAGCAGGTTGATTTTCACTGGAGTCTCAACAAAGACAAAGTAGTTTTGTGACATGCCAAAGCTGTAATTGATAAGGGGATAATGTTAGAACCTGAACTTTATGTGACAATGTTGATACCGCATGGACTGTTGACAAAAAGCCTTTGGGATAGTCTACACACACCTGTGCACATAGGAAGGTTTGAACCTCTCAGCACTGGGGAACTGCACCACTACCTTAGACTTCTCAATGGGATCAGACTTATCTAAAAAAAAGAATGCAAAAGAATGTGATATCTGAAACAGGTGTTGAATCGTTCTATACTTTAATTTCTACATGACATAAAGGCCAAACACACCTATTTATTGATTTCCAATAATGTCTACAAATGGGGCAATTTTAAGATTACTGAAAAAGAAAGCCATTGTGTTCAATTTAATAAAATAATCAAACTAAGAGATTTCAGTTTTGTGATCTCCATGAGACCCTGAGAGAGAAATGATCATTTCTCTCTTGTTTGGTGTTTGAGGGGAGTCACTGTGATTCCCCTAAGCCTAAATTACCACCCAGCAGTATAGTTTGGTTTTAAAAACATTTCTGCCTTTATTTGTTACATGCAGTAATACAAGCCCTGATCCAAACCTTTCTGTGTAGGTGGGATTCTGACAATGTTGTAGGCCAGCGTTGCTCCTTTTCCCATGCAGTTTCCAATGTTGTACACAGTACCATCTTTCTCAATATGAGGGTGGGCTGTCAGCCCATTAATGTTGACATAGTTGCACATATCAACCTACATAGGAAATAAAGCCATTTTACTGTCCTGGAAAGTTTAAAATGGTGAGATCTATTTTTTTACGCCTCAGATTCGATGATATATTTGTACTGATGTACCTTCTTCAGTGTCTCCAAGGTATCAGTGTTTACTTTAGTGATGTAGTTGGTTTCTGTTGTAGCATAAAAATCCTCACCAATCGGATAGATATTCACCAGGCAGTTGTCTGTGACCTCAACACCTTTGAAGTAAGAGAAAAACCTGTAAACAGAAAAAATACGAAAATACTGTAGACATACACTTGTTTGGATCAAGATGGCAACTTTGATACACTGTAAATTTTACAGTGCAAAGCATCCAGATGACAGAGAGGAAAAGTTTGCATGTGCAATCCACCTGGAGAAGATATTTTTGCAGGGATCTGGGTATGCACATGTGCCAAACTCAGTGATTACCACACGCTTCTCTGTGATGGCTCGCACATAGGAATCTGTTCTGACAAACCTACATGGGGGAAAGAGAGAAAAAGAATTTAATCCCCAAACACTGCCTGTTCATGTCCTACATGAGTCTACCTCCAAAGGCTACCAGCTGAGTAAATGTGTTAAAATGGCTTAACAAATAGCTGAATATTTGTCTGCAGCATGTCTTTAATTGTAAAATTTCTATAAATTAAAATCTATACCCCTTGCAAATCAACTAGTTTGAATTAATAGATGACATTGTATATTTTTTTTATAATGTTGCTAATTATGATGTAGTTTTATGGTGTTAACACAGCTGTATGTGCAGCTTGATTAAAAAAGTATGCACAGCATTTATTAGGGAATGATGCTCACACAGTTTCAAGTGTCAGCATTTTATGGTGTGCCTGTTTGTCCTTAAAGTCTTACTTTCGGAAGTAGGCGACCTGGCCGTTCTTGAAGTCAAATTTGTGTATGATGGCCTGGCCATCAAAGAGGTGGTAGAAAGGTTCATCTCCAATCTCAAAAAGCCCCGGTCCCAAACGAAGAAGACACCCCTTCAGAAAAGAAGGAATCCTACCTGCAGTATAAATAAAAACCACAATTTATTTTTTCATTTTAGGTTTGTAAAGATACTTTGGATGCCCATATCTGTGTTCTCAGAAAAAACAAAGAAGAAAATGATTGAATCTGCAAGTAAATTTTCTAAACAGTGCAGTCATCATACAAATTATTTGCTTGCAGTCTATTTCTGTCCGAGTAATGTAAGCAAACCTGTGATTGTTGTTGGAAGAGGCTCAGACAGCTCATCACAAGTCTCAAAAATCTTCTTGTAGCCACCAGCTGGGTGTTCAAATCTGTTAGCAAAAAGATATCAACAAACATTGCTGCCAAATAAATTAAACTTGGAAAAATTTCCGGAAAGTGAAATGTTTTAGTTTAAATTTTAAAACCTTTATTTTGAGTTCATTGTAACCTCTTACATCTTTAAATTGCTTCACTGGGTAAAAGTCAAGTAAAAGTCATCCTGCCCCTACTTGCTACCTTTCTGTAATAAATTATGACACAAAAATGATTTGGAATAGTTTAAATTCGTCACAAACTCACCGGCTAACCATGTTTCCTTCTTCTTGTGATAACACAAAGCAACTTAAAAACACCTCAGGTCACTCTTGAACTGGGAGTCTTGGATCTCCTAGTGGATTTGCCATATTTATTCTCTGGTCCCCGACACAGTCACTCTAACCTGTGCTGTAAACCCTTCTCCTGTCCAATCATGTTGCACTGTGAACAAGAATCCCATTGTGCCAATATCCTCTACTAGATGAACTCTCTAACCAGATTAATTTCATAAAATATTCCTTGCAGAGAACCATGCTTGACAAATGTGTTGCAATAGTACATGTGATATTTTTCTATTGTATCATTGATGTAGTATGAAGGGCTACAAAATATTATGACACATTTTAAAATCAACAGATCCAAATGTGGATTTAAGTTTAGAAATTCAAAATATGTGTAATGTGTGCATATTAATAGCCAGTAAAAATTTCAACCTTGTTAGCATGCGTATTAATTACAAATTGTGCACACTTTTAGATTAGAGGTGTAAGTATATGTTAAGAAACACTGTGATAATGACTACATTGGCCAAAGAGAAAACCTCTCAGAATATCAAGACAATAATAGTTTTCTGAAATAAATAAGTAACAGAATGAGGATCAGACTATTACCTATTGTGAAATCATAGTATCATTGAACCTTCACTACTGATACAATAAACATCAGGCACAGTGTTAAGTGGATGAAATGTGGCCAGCTGTTCTTTGGTCTGAACACTAAATGCCTTAACTTGCTTGTCTCAGTGTAACTATAATCCAGTTGAAGGGATTATTTTCAGCACAGTCTGGAGACAAGCGCTGCATTGTTTCTCCTGGGGGAAAAACACAGACAACTTTGCTCTCTAATCAACAACGGCAATAAAATTCATCAAACTTCTAAAACAATATGAACAGCAATCAGTAACAATGATTATCACAATTTACAGATTAACTGTTTAAAAAAAGCACTGGTTTCTGATCAGAGTGACTGCTGACAGAACAGATAAGGCACCAGGATTAATCAAGCCTGGCTGTTAGCCTGGTCTAGAGCAGGCTAGCTGCAAAAAATAAATCTCCACACTTTTAATTTATCTTAATTTAACTGAGTCAACGCTGGCAATTCCCTATCCTGGTTTTGTGCATTCACCCTCAGGTCATGCAGAATTACTCAGCTGCAGCTCTAATCTTGTAGGCTACATTTTCTAGACTGGCCATAAACAGAACACTGGAAACCAAACTCAGTGTATGAGTGATCAGCGATGGGAGAAGCGAGAGGAGAGGCACAATGCAATTTAACAAGATGTTCGGGTATGCCCAAAGACAGTAGACCTAATTGCTACTGGCCCATCATAAAACCTATTCACAGTGTCACATGCATGATGTGTGGTGAGGATAAAAAGAAAGGGCGACCTCTGTCGGCTACTCATTGCAGGTCTAAACTTTTTCAGTCTTGCGCATTGTTAAACACCAATAATACATGGGTCGATAAAATGCGGCCAATAAACCCAATAAAGCTGGCTTTTTGTGAAATTGTGAACATTATTTACAGGAAGCAGCGATCAACTATGCGCATGCGCCCGTCATTTGGAATTTACTCAATATGGCGGCCGAATGCCACACTGTTTTGTAATTGAGAGCTAATACTCAGCGAATTACTTACAATCGAGCAGATTTAATAACTCGCGGATACTCTAAGTTAAGTTTAGTGGTTAACATCGGTGTTATTGCGTAAATTGCGTAAACGGTTTTAGTCAGAAAAATGAGTTACACCACGAGGGTGGTCCAGGTGACTAATGTGTCGCCGAGCACAACATCGGAGCAGATGAGGACACTGTTCGGTTTCCTGGGAACAATCGAAGAGCTAAAGTTATTTCCACCAGAGTGAGTTGAATACCTAGTGATTTACTAAATCCATGTGGAGAGTTGAATACCTAGTGATTTACTAAATTCATGTTAATGGAAATGAAGTCAAAGATCAGCGGTATAATTTGTTAACGATTCTTTGGTGGGACGGAAACGTAGGCCTGTTTTGCTAATATGAATTGTGGCTAACACCACTAGCTAAAGTTAACTTGGCTAACACCAACAGCGGATGTTAGATTTGACTTGCAGATTAACGTTATGTCGTATGCAGTCTGTTCTTCGCAGCACAGTGTTAAGTATGAAAGTGTAGTAAATAGATAAAATTAGGAACGATAAAAAAATGCACACAAGTAAAAAAAAATTACAAGAGAAGTCCAAAAGTTATATTTGTCTGTCTGGCATATCTTAATTTTGCGAGATTTTACCTTAGTACTACAGTTAATTTTGTCATGAAGCTTGTTTTCGTTGATTAATCAATCAATCGTTGATTGATTGAGTAATTCAGAAATGGTGAAAAATTCTAAATGCCCAGGGTGAGATCTTGTAATTGTCTGGCCCATAGTCACTTCCTCATACGCAGAGAAAAGCGCCATGTTCATATATGTTACTTTAATATAATTTACTTATCACAAATGCATTTCCTGTGGATAGGCTTGACAATCAATCAAATAATTGTTTCACATTTATGTAGTATCTAAATATTATTTCCTAGCTCTTAATTTTAATCTATTAACCAAAAGCTTCATTTTGTAGTTCGACTAACTTTCAAAATAAATGTTAATGCAGTTTATATAATCAGAAAATGAAAAGCCAGCTGACAGCATGGGTCCTCCTGGCCCTGATTTTATGCGGACATTTTGGGTCAGGGGCAATTTACACTGACTCAGCACTGCCTATTGTCTATGGTTCATATTTGTTATTGTTATGGGACTATAGTATGTGAATATCCCAATTTGAGGAATTTACCAAATGATTGATTTATTTTGCTGTCTAAAGTAGGACAAAAATGTGCATTGCTTAGATGATTGTTTCATATTGGTAAGTTCTTTAATGTAACATTTGTATTTATCTTCTCAATAGTGACTCTCTGATGCCGGTGACGTCGCGGGTGTGCTTTGTGAAGTTCCAGGAGCCAGAGTCTGTTGGGGTGTCTCAGCATCTGACTAACACCGTGTTCGTCGACAGAGCACTGATCGTGGTCCCATTTGCCGAAGGTTTGTCTCATTGTTGTTTTCATGTATGAATGGTCCTTGTTGATTGAATGGCATGACTCCCAAATAGTGCGTGTAAGAGAGTAAAAATGTGTTTAGTGGTTTGCGAATTTCACAAATCAGCTCACCTTGGTCTTTTTATGTGAGCTTTTTAACATAATTTGAATGATACTGGTAATGACATCCCCTCCCACTGTCTGTAATAAGCAAATAAAGCTCTCTGTCAGATTGTTGGTATACTGTGAAAGCACATCCTGCATCTGTTTTGCCACCAGAATGCAACACTCTTCACAAACTGGACTGAATCTTAAAGAAACGGAAAAAAAAAAACGCACACAAAAGCAACAACACTGTTTGTCTCGGTGTTAAACAATGATGTGCTCTGCGTGTTGAAAGCTCAGTATACCAAAATCTGCTTTACACACTAGGAGTTGAACATTTCCAAGCTGTGGGCGCTGCAGACACCTCAAAGTTCAGAAGTGAAGTTGTTTAATCTCGTAAACATTTGCATTTTATTTTCTACCCCATAATGGACTATCCTCTGTTAAACTTCTCTCTGTTATTTGTGTGTGTGTATGTGTATGTGTGTGTGTGTGTGTGTGTGTGTGTGATTTTTGTAGTGGAGAAGGCAAAAGCAGCCCCCTCGTTGATGGCTGAAAGTGGTCCTCTGCCTGCCAACAGGGGATTGTAGACATTTGCAAAGGCCAGCAAGCATTCAAGCCCCTCCCCCTCTCTTTTTTATGTCCTCTGTTCTTTCTCTGCCTTCTCTTTCCTTCTGTCTAATTTATCTTTTCTAGGTGATTTAGTTTAAAGGATAAAGGTCAAATATCACAAACGTAGCCTAAAACGGTGCTTATTCTGCACTATTTTCGCGAAACCTTTGATTGCTGCTTAGCTATTCATTTTATGGCTAAAGCATTTTTCCTTAATAGCTCAGGCTGGCAATAATCTTCAGTTTTTTACATCAACAAATCCTATGAGAAGACGAAAAGACCACTGTTGTCCAAAAACAATTAAAAGCACATCAGTGAACCACACTGTTTGCACTGGGTGACATGTTTGTTCAGTATGATGAATGCAGGCACTGGAGTTTATTTTGAGGCGGAGCCAAAGCGACTACATGCCAAATGTGTATTAATCCACCACTAAAAATAGTCCCCAACAAATGCACTGTGTATATTTGTTTGAGTAAGGATTGCCCAGTTGTTTTAGAAAACCTTTTCTAAAAAAGGGAAAATAATATACTTTATTTGTTGTGTAGTAGCCAGGAAGTACTGATAGACTAAGGTGTAGTTGGTTTTGGTCTTTTTGTGTGTTTTGTCTGCAGTAACAAAAAGTATTCACAGGCTCATCCTTTTACAAGTGGTCAAATTTACTACTGAAATAAAAAAAAACTTTGGATGATAATCAGTTACTTTGGGTCTTGTAGCAAAGCTTTATACAAAATAACTGGGTCTTGATAATCATTTGCTAAGGTAGCTGACACTGCACCAACTAAGTTTGAAAATTCTCTATTTTAGCAGTACGAGTTGGGTTTGGGACTTAAAAATGGGGAACACAGGTTCGTTGGTTGTCACTAACATTGGTTGTCTGATTTAATAGTCCGTCTCATCATCAATTGTCTAAGATGCCCACCCGTCATGAAGCTTTTGGTACAATACTCACTTTAACAGTGGTCTTCTTTTTGTTGTTGTGTTTTACAGTTCTTTTTCCTGGCTCAGCCAGTCCTGTATACCAGGCCCCGCTGAAAATACCATCCAACAGTTTTGACTCCTGCAGCAATTTCTCTCTCCAGTGTGCTCTCTTATTTAAATGTTGTCTTTGTTGTCTGTATTGAGGTCATGTCTTTATGTGAAAGAGTTGTTTTGGGGTGGATTAACTACAAACGTGATTATGAGGTATTTTATTTTTTAATTTTGAGTGATCCTTGCAAAATAAACCAAGAGCCATAATTGCAGACAAAGCTGATATATTTATTGGGGCTGTGGTAACACAAATGAATCAGTTAAACAAACCTCTGTCTAGGTTTGGTTAATTGATACAGTGACAGGTAAGGATGCCAGAATAATCATGTGCAGCAGGCACGTTACCTACTTCAATTCTGTTTTTTGCCATTTAGTAAGTAAGCCACTTTATCCTCTGAAATGTGTTTTGGTAAGTAGACACTGGTAGCTTGTATAGTGTTCTTGCCGAAACCTTAAATTTCTCTTTGTTGTGTGTATCTCGATTTTTCTCTGTGTGCTTTTAGTAGCGAAGGCGCCAGCGTGACTCGCTTGTTTCAGTAAACATCTAAATGAAAATTGAGGGCACACCCAACTGGAGAAGCAGCTGTGCTTGCTAACGTTTGGTTCATGACTTAAAAAACACGTTCAGGTGATATATTCTTGGCAGTGTTCATTGGAGTAGTGTGATTTATTCCAGCAATACTTATGTCATTGCAGTGATTTTGTTGAATTAAGGGAACTCTTCTCTGATATGTAAGGTAACCATTTTGATGAATCTAATTTGAAGAAATGCAGTGTGAAGACTCTTTTTTTTTTTTTTTTTTTTTCCTTTGTCTTTTCCAAAATGTCTCTCCGTAGTTGTTCTCTCCTAATGCCTCATTTTATTTCCCTGTAGGATCGATTCCAGATGAGGCTAAAGCTTTGTCACTGTTGGCGCCGGCAAATGCTGTTGCGGGAATCCTGCCAGGAGGCGGCCTTCTTCCAACACCCAGTCCCATCTCTAATCCACCTGTAAGTCCTCATACTCGCTGTTGGGACCAATTCTCTGACCACCAGCTGGTGCAGGAGCTCACAACATTATTAAAATTACAGTGGGTTGTTCTTGAATTATTTTAGGGCTGAAATTGATTATTTTAATATGTTGATTATTAATCAGATGTATTAAAAATGCACAAATCTATTTTCCACATTATACAAACAAATGCTTTTGCAATGTTTTTATGCAGTGCGTTTTATTTATTTTTTTGGCTGAGTTTCCAATCGTATCACATGATCTTCATCCACAGGCTGCGTTTGCAGTTTGCTATATAGAAATGCTGATATTCAGCTAAACTTTTTTCTGAGCACTTAAAAGTTAGATTTTTGATCTTGGAAACAACCTTTTCTCAACTCAAGGTACACTTTTTGAGTCACTGTATTTTAAATAAATCAGAAAAGGAGGATTTTAATAGGTGGGTCAAAAATGAATTTTAAGTGTGTCACTTAACATTTTTCACATTTTAGAAACGATCGCTCATTATTTGTGAGTGATGACCTTTGTGTGATGTGAGTTGGAACTGAAACAGTGAAAACAAAAGCATGTGTGCTTGTTTTTACTCCAGCTTGGAGCGAATCCATTTGGTGGGCTAAGCATGGATGCGATGGCTGCTTTTGGATTCCCAGGATCCAGTATGAATTCCCAGGTGAGAGATCTTCAATGACAATGAATAGTTTTAATATTTTCTAAACTCAGCATGGCTTAATAAGCACTGTGTCTTTACAGGCTGCTGATTTGTTGAAATTCATGACGGATCCAAAGTAAGTTTGAAAAAAAAAAACAAGCTCCTTTGTTGGTAGAGTGAAGAAATTGATGTGCTGGTGTGTTTGTAGTTAACTAATGAATATTATATGGTTTAGACTGAATCCCCTGGCTGCAGGCTTAACCCTGAATTCAGCTATGAAGGCCGATGCATCTAATAAAGAAATAGAAGAGGCCATGAAGAGAGTCAGGGAGGCTCAGTCACTCATTTCTGCAGCTATTGAACCTGGGAGTAAGTGGACAGGACGACTTTGTTGCCATAATGTTGACTTGAAACTTTCAGTTTTGTCCACACTGTAGTAATAATTAAGATTACCTTATTTTTCTACCTTTCACTCATGAAGTACGTATGTGTAATATTTTACCATGAAAGTCATATCTCTCTTGCAGATAAGGGGAGCAAAAAGAAGCACTCTCGGTCCAGGTCCAGGTCCAGAAAGAGAAGGTCCACTTCACGTTCAAGATACAGGTAAAATCTTCTGTCGATGATCTTATTGGCTGAGAAACATCATTGTCACTATCACTAAGAGTTAAATGGCTTGAATGTCTGGTTGCAGGCGAAGCAGATCAAAGCGGCGATCAGGCTCGAGAAGCAGGAGGGGCTCCAGAAGCCCACGCCGGAGACACACCCACCCCAGAGACCAAAGCAGGCAATCTCCAAGTAGATCCAGGTAGGTTAACTGTGTCAAAGATTGATCTTGAGGTAACTTTCTGCGATGAACAGCTGTAGAGCTGAAACATGTCCTGAAATCTGAAATCTTTCATTTATCTACAGAGATAGAAAAAAAGATGACCGTGGGAGGAGAAGATCCAAAACACCTCCCAAAAGCTACAGCACAGCCAGGAGGTCACGTAGCATAAGTCGGTGAGTACAGCCTGGTTCTTCATGTGCTCTGGGAGAATGTAATTAAAACGGTAACCTTACCTGATGAATCTATCTTCAAGTCAGGATACAGTACTGAACATCAGTTTTTGTCTTGTTCTGCTACACAGGAGACGTAGGAGAAGTCGCAGCAGTAGCAGCCGATCTCCTAAAAAGTCCCCTAAAATGAAAAGTTCCAGGTCTCCATCTCCTCGAAGGTTGGTGTGTTGATGTGAAGTATTTGTAGAAAATACAATTAATCATTACATGCTTAAGATCCCAATGAAGTTATTTTTAAACAATAATGACTCTGGATCATTGGGCATCCTGTTTGGTTAAAACTCTTGTTTGGCTCAGTTTATTTAGAATACTTTCACACCAGAAGTTCAGTTCCTTTTATCAAGACCAGGGGGAAAATATGTTGGTGTATCTTGGCTCCAAGTTTGAATGTGTGGGAAAAACATTTCAGTGAGGAATTATAAATACTTGGAATCGTTTGCAGCGCAAGGTGGCACACAAACGCACGGCAACAACATGCACTGTGGTTAACGTAGAGAAGAAGCTTAAGCTTGTTGGTAAACTAGGCTATAACCATGTATCAGAGGAAAAACATTGCCTATAAGTGCACCATTTCAACAGAAATCCAAGTTTGCTGCCTGTTTTGTTATTCCAACTAATTCATATGGTAACCCGACATTGTATATCGTCGATTTAAATAGGCAGCAACTTAAATATTGCAGCTGTCTTTTATTGACTTTTAAATGCTCAGAAATGTGTTCCTGTCACTCCTTTGCATTTAATTACCGATGTTATTGTCAACAAAATTATCACTGAAATTCATGCCAGATGATTTTCTGAAAGTCTAGGCTATATAAGAATGAATAGTCAAATAACTGACCATCAGCTGACACAATCCTTAGTTGGGTAAAGCTCTAGATTAGCCTCTTTTCACTATTGTCTGTTAAATCTGGCAGTCCTGGATTATGTTATTCATCTGTGCTACTGACCTTCATTGTTGTTCAAAAGCAATTAAAAACATGAGAAACACACTGTTGCACCGGTTGACATGTTTCCTCATTATGACACATCAGAGTTGCATTATTTTAAAAAAATGTTGCCCCAAAGGCTCCAAATAGCCGTAACTTTTTAAAGCGTCTGATGAAAGCAAGAGTGAAGGGCTCAAGCAGGAGATCTCTGAATATTAACAAATATCACGGTCTTGTTTCATAATGAGGAAATATGTCACCCAGTGCAGTGGTGTGCTTCCCTGATGTGTTTTTAATTGTTTTTGAGGTCTACGGCATAAAACAAGAGTTCTACTATATTTACTGTGTGACAAGTCTAAAAACATACTCGGGTGAACTGTTCTTAATTGCACCTGTGACTGTGACTCGACACATTGCTTAATGGGCTTCCCAGGCGAGCTGCTCTGATGTTTGCCACCATGACAAAGAACAAACAAACAAAAAACCCCAAAGATTTTAGCCTGGTAGGGCACCGCTGAGTATTATCAGAGGAAACACTGAATTCATTGTTGGTTTTAGTGTCTGTATGGGGAGGGTTGAAAATGCTGTTGATATAGAAAATGGCCAGCCTCATCCTCTAAATATCCTTTGTGTGGGTATATCCAGGTCATTTTGTAATACACTGCACTTTCTCTCCTCTCTCTACAGACACAAGAAGGAAAAGAAAAAGGATAAGGAAAGGGAAAGGGACCGTAAGAGTGATAAAGAGCGCAGTCGTGAGGAACGTGAACGCTCCGCCAGCAAGAAAAAGAAAAGTAAAGACAAAGAACGTGAGCGGGAGCGGAAATCAGATGGTGAGAAAGGAGACATTAAGGTTGGTATAGTATATTTGTGCATGTTTTTGCGTGATAGTTTTAACAAAAAAGGAAATGTCTTACTGATTTGGTACAGATTTTGGGCTTTTTTTTTTTTTTTGGTATATTTAACAGTCTTCATTCTAAATTATTGTGAGAAGTACTCTTCTACCCAGAGGTGTTATATTTTAGAAATGTCACATTCACCAGTTTTCTTTCACAGATCACCAGGGATTACGATGAAGAGGAACAAGGCTATGACAGCGAGAAGGAGAGAGGGGACAGGACAGACGACTCCGCTTTGTCTCCTCAGTCAGTAGGAGGCAACGACATCCCGCACCCAGTGAAGCAGGCCAAAGTTAACGGTGCTGACGATCACCACGAAGAAGACATGGATGTCAGCGACTGAGTAGGCTGTCCTGGTTTGTCTCACCTTGTCCCTCAGTTTTGGTTGTTAATGTTAGAAAAACCACATTATTTTTCCCTCTGGGGTAAATCTGAATGTGAAGTGCAGTTGTATTGATTTCACGCATACGTCTTCTCTGCTTTTGCAGATGTACAAAGTGTACTGTTAGTTTTTGCTTCTGAATTGTCATTGGCTTTTCCTAGTGAGATAGCCTGTCTTTGTTTGTCACTTTGCTTTAAGGTACTATCTGCTTTTTGCCTCTACAAATGTAATTTGTAGAAACTGGAGTACTGCAGGCTTGCTTTTCTTTTCTTGAGCTTGTAAGATTGTCACTTTACCTTTTTGGTTAGTATTGTATGATTAAGCCTCTTTCTACATCTTTTTGAAACAGTTACATTTGCTCATTTGAAAGCATTGTTTTATCAAGTGTTTCTTTTATAATAAAGCCTATATTAAACATTTACTGTATTTAAATTTTAACCTGTCAACTAAAGGTTCAGCATCACACTGATAGAAACTCATTGCTGCAAACAGGTCAAACTTGGAACAAAGACAGGAAAACCTTTCCCCAAACCCTGGCCTTTGGAAGGAGGGGTGGAGTAATAGATAAAATCCTTAATCATCATTCTGCATATTTCTGTAATATGTCTACGGACTGCACGATGGAATGTGTAGGGGCGTAATAGGACGGGTCACGTTATGCATCTACATGTTCTGCCCCCATCTTGTAGTCCACAGACAGACCCTTCTCATGTATTTAGCTTTGTCATAAAAACATGCATAATACTACAATACAATAGTCTGAGAAATCAGTTTTTTATATGAAAAATGGACATGTCTACATGTACAACAAAAAAAAAATTACTAGTTGCAGTAAGAACGACAACTGTTAATCTAGCAAATATACCTGGAAAAATAAAAGTACTTTTGTTATATTGATTAAAAAGTATTGTACAAAGCTGTCCTTATTGGCCTTCAATACAACCATGATTATACTGTAGTATAAATATAGCAAAATGTCAGTTTACAAATAAGCTCACACCTATTTGAAAGCTTCAGTTAGAACTGTGTTTTTATTATACTTGCACAAAGTCAGTTGAAACATGATGCTGGTGCTTTATTTAAAGGGATGTGAAGTCAGTATGGTTGCAGGACATAGTAGGTGAAAGCAGACACAAGTCAATGGATCTGATCATTTCCCACATTGACAGATTTGGAATGTCCAGCAATATCAACTTCACAGCTTAGTTTACGCTCCTTGGATTAAAAAAGAAAAAGAAAAATACGCAATATACGCAGACTAAGCACTAAAAGGTGTTTCAAAGTATTAGCATTACAATTTTCAGTTTTTCTTCAGCTTAAATACCAATAAGTCTGCAGGTAATAAAGAAGGAATATAGCATAAAGATGCATGTGATCCAGTAAGCCAACACAGCTGTAGCATGCCGTGAATATATTTAATATCAGTGCAGAATGAAACTAAGAACAGTTTACCTGATATCCCTTCCTGGGTCCTCCCACATACAAACGTACATACAACCACCCTTGATACAGTACAAGTACTCACTCACACTTAACACAGAATTCATACTATCACAACAAACGGAGACAGCCGAGAGGTAACATGAGCTAACCTGAAAATACAGGAAACTGCTTCCTGCACACGGGGAAAGGCTTGGATATCGAACTGTTAAGAATGTGTTTTTATGCTAAACTGTCTCCTAGCTGGTTAGAAACATTCTTAAGTACTGGAAATATATTGCTACACAGTGTTTCTTCTTTGAGTATATTATAAGTATATATTACATAATTTATAAATGAATAAGCTCGAGGATATAACTATATTTTTGATTCTTTTTATGAATTACTCATGGGATGTGAATTATTTACAGATGACGTGTCAGTGCAGTTTCAAGAAAGAGAATTCAGTTATTAGTCTTTTGAGATGACGAAATAGAGCAGATAAAATAATGAGTACAGACTGAGTTTTCTAACGAGTTTCACAGGACAGAACAGCAGCACAGAGCAGAACATTTAACTGCTCAGTTGGTGAACAGCGAGTACAATGCAAGCTGTCGCTTATTTCATAAAGACAACTGCAGATACACATCGATATGAGAGATGGTGCCTGTAATACCGGTTTGCTATGGATCCATCCCCAACAGGAATAATAGCTGATCAATAACACTAGTCCTCCCCCCCCCCCCCCCCCCCCCCCTTTTTTTTTTTATAAACAGCGAATATACTGCGTATATATATATATATACACACACACACACACCCCCATCCACACACAAACAAACAGGTGACAAATTAAAGGAAAAACCAAGCTGTTAGCCCACAATGTGCTACCAGAACAGCTTCAGTGCACCTTGGCACTGATTCTACAAGTCTCTGGACTCTACTGGAGGGATAAACACCATTCTTCCAAATGCTATTCCTCATTTGGAATATTTAATCAAAATCTCCCAGTTCAACTGGGTTGATATGTAATTGTGACTCTGAAGGCCAGAGCCATAGGATTCACATCATTTATTACTCAAGGCATTCAGTGAGCCCTCAGGCCTTATGGATGGAGGTACTGTCATCCTGGAAGAGACCACTCATTTATTCAGGTTTTCCCTTTAATGTGTCACCTGTCTGTATATATGAATAAAATGTAACAAGATTCCTCACTTTTGTTTCCCCACCTGCCAAACATATTCACTTGCTGGTCATTTTCTGTTTGCCTGTTGTGTTTACAGGTCAGAGGTCTGGGAAGCGACTGGGATCTTCTTTGTATTCAGCAGGGATGAAGAAAATTGACTCTTCAAAGTCATCATAGCGAAACTCCTGAAAGGTGACAGTTGCTGTGATCGTGGGGAAGACGGGGATATCTGCAAGGAAGGGAACAAAAGAAAGTGTGTTAGTTTGTAATCGTCCAAACCCAAGTTCACCCACTGTAGTAGGAAGACAGCCACACACATACCGAGTTTGACTGGAAACCCAGGTGGAAGTTTCATCTGAACAAACTCTCTGAGTTTGTTGAAGTGCTTGAACGGGGCTATGACCTCCAATACATTCAGTAACCTGCAGGCAGAGCAAAATGAGTCAGTTTTCTTCGCCAACATTTCCTGTCACCTTCTGAAATCTCAGGAAGAACAAAAAATAAAGAGCTTGAGTCCAACTGTAATTTGAGAAATGAAAAAGAACAGCGATATGCGCTTTCTCCTCTGTGTGACCCTGAACAAGACTGTCAACATGGGTTAAGTACGGAACAAATGACTTTTGGCTTGTGATCCTTTAGGGAGATGCCAGCCTCAGTCTGTGCCCCTCATGTATTACTGTGTATCTGAGTCACAGAGAACCCAATTATACTTTTGAACTGTAGAATGTCCCACTGTATATATACACATCTTGATTTGATTTGATTTGATTTATTCTTTCAAGCATGTAAAAACAGTTGATATGACAACACACATACACATGATCCAATATCAATTTGCTTATACCTAGTACATGCTTGAATGGAGTAGGAAGAAGTCAGACTTATCCAGTCCTACCCCATGACATCATCTTACCATCATTGGTTTGCAAGCAGTAAATGATTCACTTCTACCCACACAAGTATTATACTAAAAAAAGATTATAACAGTGTTAACATTCTTACATAATTACATTCTTAAATAATT